GGAATTGTTACCCTCCCTCTCTATCCCCTGCAGCCCCTGGCTCTCCCTCTCAGTGACCAGCCCCCAAGCCCAGAAGACTGAGTCCCTTTCTCTTACTCTGAGTTCATGGTGGGAGGGAACTACCTCAAAGCCCAACTTTCTGGCCTCTTTAGTGCAAGAGGGGCCCCTGGAGAGTTCAGAGGTTCGGTGTGAGAGCTGACCCCTGACTGAGTCAGAGGGCGGCAGAAGGGTCAGGGAGCAGCTGTTTCCTTTCCTGCCCAGATGAGGGCTTAAACAGCAACCATCATGAAGGGTATCAGTATAAAGAGCCAGTTTCTGAGTGAGGTCCGGTCAAGGACCACAGAATAGACAGGAAAGTGCAGCAAACCGGAGGCTGAAGGAAATTCAAAGATCTTCTGACCACCCTCTGTGTTCCCAGGGCCCCTGGGTATCAAGGAGATGTGGTAAGCACAGCTAACAGGGCTACAGGCCCCTTCAACCAGAGCATTTCTGCTTGTATGCATGGTATAAGTCTGAGCTTTCACTTGAGAAAGGGGTTCGGTGGTTACAAAAAAAGGAAAAAAAAATCACTAGCCTCATCTAATGGTTCCCAAAGTGTGGTGGTCCCTGGACTAGCAGCATCTACATTACCTGGGTTCTTGTTAGAAATGCAAATTCTCATGCTTCCTTCCAGGTGAGGTAGGGGTAGGGCCAAATAATGTGTGTTTTAACAGGCCCTCCAGGTGCTATGTAAATTGGAGAACCACTGACCTAGTCCGAGTATGTAGGAAACCAAGTCCTAGTTGTGGGTCAAGGGCTGGGCAGTGAAGGGAACCCATCTCCCATTCCGCAGCCCCGGCAGCTCAGGAGATTTGGAGGTCACCCCTGCCCAACCCTCCTATCTTCGCCCTTGTGCCTCCCCTCCCAGGCGCCATGCTGCCGCTCCTGCTGGGCCTGCTGGGCCCGGCCGCCTCTTGGGCGCTGGGCCCGTCAGCGGGCTCGTCAGAGCTACGCTCGGCCTTCTCAGCGGCACGCACCACCCCGCTGGAAGGTACGTCGGAGATGGCGGTGACCTTCGACAAAGTGTACGTGAACATCGGGGGCGACTTCGACGCGGCCACTGGCCAGTTCCGCTGCCGCGTGCCCGGCGCCTACTTCTTCTCCTTCACCGCTGGCAAGGCTCCGCATAAGAGCCTGTCGGTGATGCTGGTGCGCAATCGCGACGAGGTGCAGGCGCTGGCCTTCGACGAGCAGCGGC